CTTGTTGGATACAAGATAACGAGTAGCATCAAAACAACTGCTCGAGGTTATAGAAAGAAGAGGCAGAGGAGGTATGCCTAACAAACAAAGGAGTGAAACCTCCAACAGAGAAGAACCGGCATACCCTCCAACATCGAAAACATCATAGAAGATGCATGTGAACTCCGTTTTTGATGAACTCGAGCTTGTCATAAAAATGACTATAAGCTCCAAATCTCACAAGGAGAAGAACCAAACAAGAACCAATAAAGATGATTCAAGGATGCAATGGTTTGAGCTCTCTACGAACGATATGATCAAGAAACTCATCGAGAGCCCCCTTGATAGTACGGCAATCGATCGTAAAACCCAGTCTCCCAACTACCACCATGAGACCGGTGAAATAGAAAACATATCAAAGGCAAACCTTTGCCTTGCACAAAGTCCACTTGAGCTAGATGATGACGATCTTGACTTCCTCAAGTTGGACCACATTTCTTGATTGCGTTGGCTCGATGAAGATAGGATGATTGCTCCCCATAGACCACTATAGGTAAGCCACACTTCGGCACATCTTCACAAGTCCATCATCACCATAATGGACGGCAAACTTCAAGCACTTGATCTCTTCGTGATGCACACCGCATCCTAACCCCACAAAGAACTCTCACGAAGACCGTGGGTTAGTACACAAAGCATAATTGACAATGCTTACCATACCATGGGATCACTTGATCCCTCTCGGTACATCTTCTACGCTTTGTGATGATCAACTTGATTCACTCTTTGACTTAGTCTTGATCAACCTCTCACAAGACCAATCTTTTAGGTAATTCCTTGAATAGCACCTTGGTCGATGCAAACTCTCCTTGAAACCAACACATGTTCTCCAAGAAAAGCCTATGGACAAAAACCTTCAAATATAACTCAAGGCAACCATTAGTCCATAGAGATTGTCATCAATTACCAAAACCAAACATGGGGGCATCGCATGTTCTTTCACCATGGGCCATCCTGCATGACCCTCTCCCAATCCCCAAGACAAGAGAATTGAACCGTATAGAGGTTGTCCTCGAGAGGCTTGAATTTTCGCCTGCTGTGCTATATCCCATGCAGATAGCATGTTTCTATAGAACCATGTCTGGCTATAGGTTTTGTTGGTGTTGACCCGAGCCAGCGCAATCCATCTAGGTTCTGCTTGCGTCGCCTCTTTTTCGTCAAAGATCACATCATCAAGATCCTCCTCCTTCAGCCCAAGTTCCTGCATCATCCGCTCCATATCGCTAACCCCTGAGGAGCCTGAGGCTCCATCAGATGCCATGTAGATCTCTTACCCGATGAGTACAATCTGATCGGGTGACTTTGTGGAACCCTAAAGCCGACGCTACCAAGGACACACGCCCCAACGCTCCTGGTAAATCCAGAAGATCGGCGGTAGGGGAGCAAAAGTACTCAACGGCGGCGAGAAATCGCCCCCAGGAGAAAGACAAACCCTAACGTGAGGGAACAGGCCACCAACTAGCTTTTTTTAGGGAAGCTAGGGTTTTTATTCAAAGTTCAAAACATCTGGAATACATGCAATATCTGGCAAAACCCCTAGCCACACATGGCGACCCACCACGAGAGACGCAGCTCCCTTAGCAAGCGAGTAGGCCTCAAAATTATTAACTCTACTCTCAAAACGAAAGTTAACAGAGGCAAAATTTGCCCTACTGGTTTGAATTTCCCTCAAAATGGGAGCATAATATGGTGATCCCGCCTTGTTGATGTTAGATATTACTTCAACACAATCCGAGGCTATCACAAGCTCCTGTAGGTTCAGATCCCGTGCGAGGGCTAGCGCCTCGCTGCATGCTTGAGCTTCCAAACTTGCCGGATCAGTTAGGCCGTCATAAACCACCGCCGACGCGCCTAAATATTAATTTTCCATGTTTATCTCGATAGACAACTCCAGCTGCCCCCTTCTCCCCCAAAGTAGAAAGGCCACCGTCACAACTAAGTTTTATTGCATCGCCTAAGGGTGGTAACCAAACTCTTGCCCGATGTCCAGCCACACTTCCCATCGGCGTCCTTGAAGTGTGCATATTAGTGATTTCTAGATCCTCCAGAAATCTCTTGATAAAGCACATAGTTGAGAGCGGGCTCTGGTATTCATTCTCATGGATTGCCTTCCTCCGAGCCCACCAAATTGTCCACATAGTTACCAAAACTCAAGCTAGATCATGTTGGTTGGTTGTTTCAAAAAGCCAGAACAACCATAACTTTGCATCCGCCGTTTGGTTTGAATCACATGCCCGACCAGCTCGTCGTCTTCCAACGCCCATACACATCTTGCCATGCGGCAGTTGAGGAGTGAATGACGCCATGTGTCCTCCTCCGCCCCACATAATGAGCATGCTGGGTGATCGGCCATCTACCTTTCATGCTGAACTAGCCCCGTCGGGATAGATGTATGTGCCAGCCGCCACACAAAGACTCGTATCTTTGAAGGAATCTTCACCTTCCACAATTGTCTCCAAGAGTTCTTGCTAGCTGCAATGTTGGAGTAACCTGGCCGATGCTCTAGCCAATCTTCCCGTTGTGTTTTGATGGCACAAATCATCCTATAGGCTAGCTGGGCAAATCCTAAACGGCGCCCGTTGCACCCGTTTCTTCGCTGCACGCAAACGGGCGCATACCCCCCACGCCAGGCAGGGCCAGCCCATTTCTTCTTTTTCTGTTAAAACTGCATCAATCAAAAAAGCGTGAGTGCGATGGTTCGAACTTGGGATGTTTTGTTTAGACATCAACGCGGTTACCACTAGGCAAAGAACCACTTGCTGTTTGAAAACCTCTTTTTCCTCTTTTATTGTTTCTCCAGGTCGTGAGATTTTTTCTCCTTTTTCCTGCTCTTTTTTATTTTTATTTTCTTTATTCCTTTTTCTTTTTTTCGTAAATGTGCAATTTTTTTATTCAAATTTGATGAACCTTTTTCAAATAGATGAACTTTTTTTAAAATTCGATGAAAATTTTCAAATTCAATGATTTTTTTAAACGCGAACAATTATTGAGAACCTGAACAAAAAATTATATACGATGAGCTATTTTCAAATATACACTGAACATTTTTTCGGTGTACGATGAACAATTTTTAACTACACAACGAACACTTTCGTGATATACATTGAAATAATTTAAAACATATTTATACATTCTTTTAATATAACATGAACAACTTTTATACATTGAACATTTTTGTAATATAATCTGAACAATTTTTAACTACACATTGAACAATTTTGTGATATGCGCTGAAAAACCATTTAAATACCCATTGAACATTTTTTTATGTACACTGAACAATTTAAAATAGTGAACAAAATTTGTAAAGGTGAATAAATTTGAAATACTATGAACACATTTTGAAATCACGAACAAAAAACAAAAAATACATTTTTTAAATTCCATGAACTTTTTTCAATTTCAATGAACTTTTTCTAGATTTCGATGAACCTTTTCTAGATTTCGACGAAGTTTTATTAAATTCGATGATTTTTTTTAAAAAAATTGATGAACTTTTTCCAACTTTGATGAACTTATTTTCAAATTTGATGAACATTTTTCAAATTAGTTGAACTTTTTTAAATTCGAACAAACTTTTTTATATTGATGAACTATTTTTCAAAATCGATGATCTTTTTTGAAATTTGTGAACTTTTTTAAAATCAATGATTTTTTTAGTTCGTTAACCTTTTCAATTCGTGATTATTTTGAAATCTATGAATTTTCAAATTTCGTCCCGAAAAAATTACGTTTCCCAAAATCTATGCGCAATGAATAGCGCGACTTTAATTATTCTTAATTCATGCGCGCTGAAAATATCCATGATCGATTGGTTGCACTCGTGGTTAGTTGACTGGAGCATGTACTGGAGGTGAGCAACACTTTTGAGGTGATTTTTTTTGGTATAGATGGGATTTTTTTTTTTGGTATAGAAGGCGTGTCGTGGGCCGGCCCAGCAGGAGCGGCAGTGAGCGCCAGCTTCCTGAACCGGCGCTTAAGGCGCCGGTTAGGAGCTCCCGGCTAGCTGTGTGGCTGGCTGGATAGATGTCTCTGGAAAGAGTCTATCAATTGTTTTTTATTGGTGAATCCTTCTCCATTTTTCGGCCCCTGTACGTTTCGGCCCGGAGTCTTAGCCCAACTGCAGCCCACCGCGGAATCGAAGGCACGACACTCGCACGACCCCCTTCGGCCCTACTACCCACGCGTCCCACTCACGACCTAGTTGCTCTCCGCCGGCCGCCGCCGTCCCGCTAGCTGGCTGCTCCGTGCGTCCGCCTCCGCGCCATTCCCCTACCTCGCACCAGTGCTCCTAGCCAGCCTCCCCCTTTGCCCCCCACCCCCCGCCCAGCCGCCGATCTCGCTCCGCTGCTCGCTGACTCGCGCAGGAGCTGCTGCCTACTACTCCACTCGGCAACTGTGTCGGCTGATGAAATTGCTTCGAGATCAAGCACAGCCGATCAGCTAGTGGTGGTCCTGTAGGTGCTGGATTGCTCTGACTCTGCTTCAGGTTCTGATCCAGGGCAGCCGGCAGCCGGAGGGTAATTCCTAATTTCTACTCCGTAGGTTCAAAACTGATGCATCGTCATGTTCTTCTAACAAAAAATAAACCCGGATGCATACTGCATTGGACGATCCGACCAAAATTGAGCTGAAATCATGTGTATGCGGGATGGATTTACTCAGATCTACGCGTCCCGTCACCGATTGCATTCATGCCGTAGAATAGAAGATGAAGAGATCTGCTCTCCTTTGTATCTCCACACTATTGTTTTATACTCCATATACATACATTTTCTCATCTTGCATCTATTTTGTTGGATTGTTAACTGTTGAGTTCAAATTATATACTACTTATTGTGCAATCGCTTCCGTCCTGACTCCGCCACTGTATACGGCACACCTTCAGCAGGTCGCCCCTTCTGGTTGAGCTCTGTAGCTGTGAGAGCTGCCGCGGAATCATCCCCCACGACCTCCTCGCTATGGCGACAATGCGGTGAGTTGTACTCTCCTGCACTTGGTTCATTTGTTGGTACTGCCACACATCACGGAAATCTATTTGCTCGCCACAATGTACTAAAAAATTACCCCTTTATACTCAGGCCTCAAACAATCCTACTACCGCCGCGCATCGACCCCATGTTCATCATCGACGGCAATGGAGGTTCACTAGTCAACGGCAACGACATTGGTGATGGTAAACACTTCTATTGTGCCAAGTGCATGTCTGTCGTGGCATGTGCATGTATTCGGCCCGGCTTCAGCATGTGCGACCATGACTTCTGCTCAAGCTGTGTTGCCATGAAGCTACCCCAGAACGTCGCCCGCGTCAAATGCACCGGGGAGAGCTCGACGGAGTCGGAGAAATATCACGGCCTGACGATCTTGCGGTGATTTTATTTGCTTCTGCTTATTTCGTTCGTTGATACTATCACACGGTTTAACAAACTCAAATCACCCCTTTATACTCAGGCCTGAAACAGTCCAGTTACCGTCGCGCATCGACCCCATGTTCATCACCGAGGGCAATGAAGGTTCACTCAGTGAGGGCAAAGAAGGTTCACTCAGTGACAGTAAGCGCTTCTACTGTGCCAAGTGCATGCATGTGGTGCCATGTGCATGTATGAGGTACAACTTCACCATGTGCGACCACGACTTCTGCTCAAGGTGTGTCGCCATGAAGCTGCACCAGAACGTCGCCCGCGTCAAATGCACTGGAGAGAGCTCGACAGCGTCGGAGGAATATCGCGGCGTGACAATGTTGCGGTGACTTTTACTGCCTTGCGCTTATTTCATTCGTTCCTACTACCACACGGTGTAACGAACCCAAATTACCCCTTTATACTCAGACCTGAAACGGTCCAAGTACCGTCACGCATCGACCGCATGTTCATCACCGATGGCAATGAAGGTTCACCGGTGGACGACATCACCAATGGCAAGCGCTTCTTTTGTGCCAAGTGCATGCATGTCGTGCCATGTGCATGTATAAGGTCCAACTTCACCATGTGCGACCACGACTTCTGCTCGAGGTGTGTCACCATGAAGCTGCGCCAGAACATCGACTGCGTGAAATGTACTGGAGAGAGCTCGACTGCGTCGGAAGAATATCGTGGCGTGACAATGTTGCGGTGAGTTTACTGCCTTGCGCTTATTCCTTTCCTTCCTACTACCACACGGTGTAACGAACCCAAATTACCTGAATACCTGATTGTCTATATATCTCTAATACTCCCTCCGTCCCAAAATGGTTGTCGCTGGTCCATATAATTGTACAATGTATCAGAGGATTAATATTGCATATGCATTCATACACACTTGAGTGTCGGAGGACATGAACACCTACCGCACCACCACTTCTACAAGGTGCATGCACGGCGCACAAACACTATAGATGATCGATTCTGGCTTCGTCCCATGAGTCGCGACCCTAGTTGCCGATCATGGCTCCTGATCCGGAGAGTGGAAGCTAGGAATTGGGGGAGTAAGCTGCTGTTTTTGTGGTGGAGCAGAGACCATGGAACATCTTCTCTTCCTTTGCACGCCATCAAGTTTTACTTGTGGGGTGTGTGGGTAAAGTGTGAAGAACATTTGTTTCTGAAACGAAGGTCGGTATCGGAATCGGTGATAAACAGCCAGTAGTGTGCCATTTCCTGAGTGATCATGGATCTGTTCATTCTTTTTTCGAAAGGACCCAGTTGCCTCTCCAAGGTCATAGGCTCGGTTGCCTCTCCAAGGTCATAGGTTCGAGCCATTGTGCCTGTTAGCAAGTCAAAGTGACCCGCTATCGGGCAAAGCTGTCGAACAGCTTGGAACAACAAGGTTCAGGTTGCTGCAAACATGTTGTCATTATGTTGCCTCTTGGTCTGTTATGTTCAGGTGGAGAGACGTTAAAATGCCCGCGTTCCACAATACTGATCTTAAGGTAATTCAGTAACCACAACCTAAAAACTGCTGCTGTTGCATTGTTCATTGCCTACTGTCAGCTACTTCTCTCTACAGAGAACATAGGTTTCAGGACAAGGCTGCTCCTCTAGCTGCTGAAGAAATTCATCTCAGCCTTGCCTGGCTAGAGAGGAAAACTGTTACTCTGTTAAAAAAATGTTTAAAGGAGGTTGAAAAATTTCTGTGTTTATTCCAAACTCACAGGTCATTTTACTTTTCTATTCTTCTCTGTTTGCTGCTCAGGCCAGGTGCTCTCTTTTCCTCTGTTGATTTTGACAGCCCTTGTAAATGATTTTGTAAACTATTTGGAATGCTTCGGAATTTACCAGATGTTCATATAAAAACGTTTCAACATTCCAGCTGTTGCACATCTATCCTATTAATTCTTTATTAGTACTGTCTTGCATTGGAATTTGTTTTTTTTTCAATTAGAGATTATATTTAATAATTGAAACCAGTATTTTTTTTCCTTTTTTGAGGAAACTGTAATTTTTTGGCGAGAAATGGTAATCTGATAGTAAAAAAAGGACATGAGTTTTAAAAAAAAAAACTAGTACGAGTGATGTTGGCCTAGTTATATTTTGTTGACGAAGCCAGGCTGAACTAGCTATAGCCCAGTGGATAAGGCCAATTAGCCCAACAACACCCTGCACTTAACCACTACTCCCTCCGTTCGGAATTACTTGTCTTAGAAATGGATGTATCTAGAACTAAAATACATCTAGATACATCCATTTTCGCGACAAGTAATTCCGAACGGAGGGAGTAGTTTTTTCCGAGCCGGCGGCAGCACATGAGCACCGGCATCGCCCAGCTGCTCCTCTCATGTCTCGCTGGCGACCGCCTCCGCCGCGTCCTCCCAGCAGCACACGCATGCGCCGTCGTCTCGGATGCCCTCCTAGAGCACTTCCTCGCCAACCTCTCTAGTCCACCGCATCAACAATTTGTCATGAGCCTAGGAGGAAAAAATGATTCAACAAAAGTCTAGCAGTAGGAGGAAAGCGATTTGCAATCAATTTGAGTGAGAAATAAGGAAGTCCAGCCAGAAAGGGAAGAAACATTTGTGTTACTCCAACCGAAAGGAAATAAAAAAAACACCAGTTCAAGCGGAAATAAATAAATGATTAGGCATGTGTCCAAGCGCCAGGAAAATAAATTATTCAGTTTTATTGTTGCTACTGTGCACAAGCACAAGCAGGGTGCTCCCTCGTTCACCGCATCAATGATATGTCGTCGGTCGGAAAGGTATGGAAAATAATGATCCGACATCAGTCCAAGAAGAAAGAAAAAACAGCCTAGCGTCATTCCGAGGGAAAGGGGTGAAGGTCGCAGATGAGCCGTGAGCTGCTTCTCCCTCGTCCACTGCATCAACAATTTGCCTTGAGTCTAGGAGGAAAGGGAAAAAATGAACGGAAGTTTGAGCGGTAAGGGGAAAACGATTTGGCATCAATTTGAGTGAAAAATAAGGAAGTCCAACCAAAAAAGTTAGAAACCTTTGTGTTTCTCCGGCCGAATGGAAATAAAGAAGAACATCAGTTCGAGCGAAATAAAGTACTGTAAAAGATTAGGCATGTGCCCAAGCACCAAGAAAATAAACACCCATGGATATTTATTTTCTTAAAAGAGAAAAAAAGGAAAAGAAAAAAAAGGACTAACGCCACTCCACAATTTTGGCTCCCAAAAGAAAATATGATTCAGCAAAAGTCTAAGCGGTTGGGGAAACCGATTCGGCATCAATTTCAGTGAAAAATAAGGAAGTCAACTGAAAAGGGAAGAAACTTATGTGCTTCTTCCAACCGAAAGGAAATAAAAAAAAATCATGAGTTGGAGCAAAAATAAATAAATGATTATGCATGTGTCCAAACGTCAAAAAAATAAATAGGCGACTGCTAGGCGTCATCTGGATATAGGAACTAAAGCAACATGCGCCTCTCTAGCCGTTTCGATGGAAGTCAACACATCGTTCTTTTTTCTCTTCTTTCTTCCACCGCAGAACACCGCACATACATCACACATGTTGGCTCAAACTCCACCACGTCCATAGCACCCGCTCACTCTAGCAACCTCGCAGCAACTCCGCCCGTCATAGAAACTCCGGTGGCCTCGCAGCAACTCCGTCCGTCGTAGCAACTCCGGTGGCCTCGCAGCAACCCCATCCATAGTAGCAACTATGGCGCCCTTGCATCACCGGCACATGGCACGGCAACGCCGTCGCAGCACCACTCGCAGCACGCCGGCCTGTCGCAACACCGGTTCACAACATGGCAGCCTGTCACGGCAACCGGTTCGCAGTACGATGGCGTCGACGCAACACCAGTTCGCAGCATGGTGGCCTATCGCAGCAACCGGTTCACAGCACGATGGCGCCGACGCAACACCGGCTCCAGCACGACGGCACCATTGCAGCATGGCGGCGCAGCCTGAGCCATCGTCGCAGCACGACGGCGGCGTCACAGGATGCATAGGTTTGAGTGAAAGGAAAACACTATTTGATGTCAACTCAAACAAAAATCAAATCCGATTTAGATTAAATACAAGCGGAAGAAAAAATGATTTGGCATGGAAAAAATAATTTAATGTCAGCTCAAACTGAAAGATTTAGCGGGAGTCATAGTGGAAGGGAAAAAATGGTTTGCATTAGAAAACAATCTGGTGTTAGTTCAAACGGAAAGAAAAAAATATTACAATATCATGTTGGTTCAAACGGAAAAAATAAATTAGTGTCAGTTCGAGCAGATGGAAAAATCAATATGGTGTCAGTTCGAACCATAGTTTTAAATAGCCGGCTATAGCTCCGCTATAGCCCGCTATATAGCCTTTTCAGCAGGGTGCCACTAAATGGTCGCCTTCACAAATAGCCCGCTATAGCTGGTTGGAGGCCTGCCGCTATTTTTCCATAACCCGCTATTTGAAACATTGGTTCGAACAGAAAAATGTAGCATCGGTCGGAGAGGAAGAAAAGAATGATTAACTTTACAATTTTATTTTGAGAAACACCCAAAATCATCTCATATCAGATATTTATGAAGAAAAATAGTAGACATTGCAAAGAAAGGAAAACAAGACACAAAGCGATCTGTATATTGACTGCCTTCTTCCGTTTATTCGTCTGTCACTGTAGTTTGAAAAATAGACTGAACATCCAGTAAGGAAAAGGGACATCGGCAACGTCATCGCCATGAAAAGTTTTGAAGACCACAATAGTCACTCCCTGCTAATAATGAGATCTAGTAGCCGGTAAAGGAACATCGGTTGAGGTAGCACCCCATGAAAAATAAGCTTGCAATCCTTCACCATCAGTTCAGAGGGTTATAAAAAACGAGCCATGCCGCAAAAGATAAAGAATGAAGAGGTCAAATCGTCATGACAATAGGTAGCAAACTTCTTCCCTGGATAGACACACCAATCGCAAGATTAGAAGAGAACCAATAGATATTGCAACACGTACCCTCATAGGCCTTTCATTGAAGCCTAGCCTGATGTCATCGAGGTAGGGAGAGGTCAAAGAGATATTATTTGAGCATGCCATTGTTGCTACCACCTCTCCAATGCCGCTAGGAAAAAAAAATAAAGAGAGCATGATCCACTAAAAAACCAAAACAAAAGGGATGAGTCCCTACTTCTGTAACCGTTGAATGGAAGGGGACCGAGATGGAGACAAGAAAAAAAACTAGGCGATGGCAGTTGCTACTATTGTTAGAGTCATGACAAATAATACTTTGACATGAAAATAATAATTCGATGTGGGTTTGGAGGAAAAGAAAAGTATAAATAGAAAAAAGAGATATTTAATGCAAAAAATAAAAAGGTCCAACTCCTCGCGCC